CCGTGGGAATGGCCATCTGCACCTTGGCAGAGAGTGCACATTGATTTTGCTGGTCCGTTCATGAACTCTATGTTTCTCATTGCTGTGGACGCTCACTCTAAATGGCCAGAAGTAGTCCCAATGAAATCAACAACATCAGAAAAGACTATCTCTGTCCTGAGAACCATCTTCGCCAGGAATGGCCTGCCTGAGCAAATTGTGAGTGACAATGGCCCACAGTACACTTCTGAAGAATTCCAAGATTTCATGAAAAAGAATGGTATCAAGCATTTCAAGTCAGCACCTCACCATCCGGCAACAAACGGGTTAGCAGAACGGTTCGTGCAAACATTCAAAAAGTCCATAAAAGCAATGGCAAACGAAGTCATCTCTCTTCAACACAAAATTGACAATTTCCTCTTGGTGCACCACAATTCTGTCATGCAACAACTAATCAGATACCTGCAATGCTGTTTATGAACAGACAGCTCAGATCTCGCATTGACCTTCTGAAGCCGAACCTGAGGAGAGAAGTGCAGAACAAACAGTTCAGCAGCTTTTCGGGTGAACCGCCAAGGAGCTTCGATGTGGGACAGCAGGTCCTGACACGTGACTACCAAGGGGAAAAGTGGAAACCTGGGAAGATAACCACTAGGAGCGGCCCCCTGATGTACGAGGTGGACACTGGAGAGCATACCTGGAGACGTCARGTGGATCAGCTGTTGAATGCTCAACCAAAGACGCCGGAGCGACCAGCACGTCCTCCTGATCCTGAGACCAACTCTGAACTCAGTACAGTAACACCTACAGTTCCAGAGAAAGTGCCCCCCACCGAGAGCACTCCACAGGTTCCCAGGCATAACCCTGAATGACTCAGGGCACCCCCAAAAAGATTGGATTTATGAGTTTCTCTTATGGGACTTTTGGACTAAAAAAAGTTTCAATATTTGTCAACTGAATGACAATTTGTATTGAATAAATTGGCAATGTTATGTGTTATTGTGGTTACGTAGCATTAATCTAAAAGGGGAGGAGTGTAGTATATAAAGCGGATCTATTTACTTCAGCGGAACCACTCCCTTAGCTACCGAGTTACCTAGAGGTTATCCACCAGTGTATTGATATCTGTAATGTTGAGACCAAGGTGAAGTTCAGTTAAGAAGTCACTTTCATGTTACCTTCGAGTTGAATCCTTCTTTTAAATATACTATGTTGGAGTAAAAAACACAACAATACATATATAT